TCCTATTGGATTTACCATATTACTCTGGATAATTCAGCAAACTTTCTGGGCATCCACTTAAAGGCAAGTACTAGCTGCTGCGTGCACCTACCGCTTCCTACACTGACTGTGACGTTATATATGCTTCAGCATGTGCAACCACATACTGTTCTCCAGATAGGCTTTCCACCATTCTTACGAAAGTACAGGTAAGGGATGAAAAGCTGTAAAAGTGAGTCCAAGCCAGGATTTCTTAACATTTAATGCATGCTGTAATTTTACTCAGTTATTCAAGCTTTTACGCAGCTTTCACCCAATGATTGGCCCAAAATAAAGCTTTGGAGAAATGAAACATTCTTTATGAGCAAGAGAACTGAGTTTAGTACGGTCTGAAAAGGTATGGGTGGGGGTTTTTGGGTTTCAGAGGGGATATTTTTTTTTTTTAAGAGATGGGATGATTTACTGTGAAATTATGTATTCTACTTCCACATACTCCTAAAGAAATCAGATCAAACAGGCCAAGCAATACTGTTAAATGTCCAACTTATTTATGTATATTACTTATTTCTATTACTAAAAACTTCAGATTTTGCAGTGTTAACTTAGTATCTCCAGTATAACATCACCATATGTGACTGTAACGCACGTTCATTCATCACGGAGAGGTACAGCACTGTAATCACAAAATCTGCTATGTTAAATGCAGTTGAACTGTTTGACTCCCAGAAGAGCTATACCAATTGACAATGGTATTATTTACAGCAGAATTTGATTAAGTTAATCTTGTAATTTAAACTAGTACAGAAAGCCAATGCAAATCCTGACTCCTGCGCATTAGGGATAAATTCACACCTGAATGCTAATTTGGATTGCTTGTTGGATAATTGTAATTGTGTATTGTAAACTCCTTTGAACTCCTTTAGTGCAATGCTATAAGCCAGTGGTTCTCAAGCTGTATTAAGGGGGAAATGGTAGTTCCCAAGTCTATGGCAAGTAGTCCATAAATTGTAGAAAGGAGGAGTTAGGTGGCTAGCCAAAAAAAGATTTTGAAGACTTAACAGCTCTGTACTAGTACTTTCTGGTGTCGTATTTTCCCCAGACGGAGCACTGTAGCTCTACTATTGCACTGTTCACTCCCATATACATCATGGTTTTTTGCAGTCTCTGGGGCCTGCAGCTAATTCTGATCAGAAAATTGTTTTACTTGTGCTGCAACTTATGAGCTTTTATGTGAGAACAATAAATTAGGGGACCGAAGTGGCCTTGGGCACGGACTATTTTTTCTGGATTTGAAACAAGTTTATAGGAACATAAAGGAAGAAGGGGAAAACCTGCTGTTTACATTTACTTACAACACCATTGGGAAACTCCATTTCAGGGATTTCTATTTGAAAAATGCCTTTCATGTTCTGCAGAATTATCTCCTTGCGTTTCTTTGGGTAAGGGTCTGAGGAGTAAGAACTCTTTAATAACTTACTCGGCTCTATTTGTTAAAGAACTGTTAAATTAGGACAGACAGATCTAACACGATTACTCACCTGTTCACTTCTCCAGGAACTCTTGTTTAAAAGGGGCAATGTCTAATACGGGCCCATGTCTGAAACTTTTAGTCACCAAGATCTTTTCTTAGGTGTCAAGCTTATTTGTAAGTGAAGATTGAAAGTAAATTAAAACTGTAAAAGATGCGTTAATACTGGCCCACCATCTGAGTTGGCCAAAATCTGTCAAGGAGACTAACATGCCCAAAATTTAAGGAAGATGGCTGAATGAACGTCGGTGACAAACGGATGTTTTAGGGAAAGCCTTGAATAGCTTGCTTGGTAATATTCCGTACATAAAAATACAGAGGATATGCACCCTGAAATTTGCTTATAATCAATAGAAATTTAATTCAGAAGACTTCAATTTTCAAACAGTTTCTTTTTAAGAGAAGTATTGTGTTAGAATCTTTCAGGTTTTTACTTGGAAAATATTGAGAGCGACCCTTACAAAATCAATCATCATTCTGTTTCAGTGGGTAGCAGATATTTGTTATATTTTTTGAATGAATGCAAAAGATTTATGGGAGTTATTAAAATTGCAAAGTTAACCCAGTTATTCAAATCGAATGTGATCAAATTATTCAGCCTAAAGTAGGAACTTTTTTAAACTTAATATTTGGAGTCCATGAGGAGATTGTAAATGCACTGTACTGCATACTTCAATCACATGAAAGTTTTAAATAAAATAGATATTGTAAAACAACTGAATATTAAATTCAGTGCTAATTTCCTTAGGAGTATTAAAGCCATAAACAGGTTATGCATGGCATGGTAATAGATGAAGCAACTTCTGGGAAATAAGGCCTTTAACAAGCTTGGAGTACCCTGTGACTGTGGTAAGCGAAAGATGAGTTCATCAATTTCATTATTAATTCATTTCTAAGAACACAACCATGCTCGTGTAAGACCTGACAAAACAGCATGAGCATTAATTTTGCAAACCGAAGCATGTCTGCACCATGCAACACAGCAGGCAAAATTCAGCTTCAACAGAGTAACTCTATCTGCTACATACAAATCAATTACTACCCATTGGTATACAGTTCTTTCAACAGCAATGCAGTATTAAAGGCAGATTAAAATATTCTGGAGTGGAAGAAAATTATTAAACAGTGAATCTGAATTAAGAAACTGTAAAAACAACTGTTAAAACAAAAGCTGGTGGTAAATGCAGTTGAAGAAAGGGTATACATTTCCCACACAGTGAATAAAGAAATGCTACATTCCTCTCCATATTAGAACTTGTTACTTTTCAGCGTGAAATTGCTACGCTTCTGTCAGCATAGAAACTCCAGTTACGTTTTGTGGTGGCAGCAGGAGTGTGAGATACTGTGCAGAGTATTTGCCCTATTTCCTCAGATTACATGGTTAGCAATTTGCTGGGAAGACAGAGATTTGTGAAATTAGTATTTTAAGTGCATTTTTCATCTATGAACCTTGCTTACTCATTTCAAATTTCACACAGGGTATCTGGGAGAAGGAATTCCAGGAAGCCTGTAAAGGCTGCAGGGGATGCCCAGGGATTTTACAGAGGTAGCATACTAATCCATCATTTGGGTTGGGGAGTGAATTACAGTTACTCTACAGGAACAGCATTTCTGAAGGAAAAATACTGCAAAAAATACTTCAAGAGGAAGTTCACCCTTTGCCTTTTCTCATGGGAGGCAGACCCAAAAACTCAGGAAAAAGGCTCTCGTAAATTCCAAACTAACGTGGCAGTATGATATGAAAATACATCCTGGCACCTTTCCAACTGTTGCTCTCCACCAAGGGCTGTAAACTGTCATAAAGACAGCTTCGTTGGCTCCCCAGTGCAGGAAAATCAATGAATATTGTAAGAGCAGTTTATTGAACGTATGTCAAGACTTCCCAGTTTTCCTTGAGTCAGAACATTTTATAGTATAATAGAAAGATATGATCAATGGCACTTCAACAAATCATAGCTATCAAAGTAGCTAAAATCAAGGGAGAGACCATGCGTAGTTAAAAATAGCAGAAGATCCTCACTTCAGTGTTGGAGCAAACAAATCTCAGTCACATTACATAACTGAACAGTGGAACATTAACAACATTGGAAAAAATGTTTTTCAGCAAAATTATATCCTACAAATGACAGCTAGCCACAGCGAGATACTCCCAAGAACTGAACCTCATCATTATCATCAGTGGATGATGAACTAGCCTGGACTGTTTTAATACAGCCAGTCTTATACATCAATACAGTATTTCTTAAAGGGCCATGTAAGCCGCAAAATATAAATGTTCAATTTAAAAATAATTTTTAGACATTAGTATTCCAAAGAAAAAAGTCCGGCTCTATCCTGAGGTAGTTGTGTCTTTCTAAGTCTGCGAACAGAAAGAACTAACTAAATCTCAAAGTTTCAGCAGTCTACGCCAGGGAAGATTTAAGACTTCAGAGTATGGTAACATTGTCCCATGTGCCCTTGCTTTTTACCTCAGCTGGGAATAAACAGATTACCAAAGCAACAGGAGGAGGTAGAACATTTGACTCTGCCTTTGAGGATCAAAGGTACCTCCCCACCTTTATCTAACCTCTGCCTTCATCACTGGATCACAAAATAGAAGCACAGAGTAATTTAGGTTAGAAGACATCTCAGGAGGTCCATCTGTTCCCACACCCCACCCACAGCAGGGCCAGCTTTAATGTTGGATCAGGTTGTTCAGGGCCTTGTCCAGTCAAGTTTTGAATGCCCTCCCAGCACATCCAAGGACACTTAAAAACACACAGCAATGCCAACAATTGAACTTTGCTAGCCTCTGTTCCTTCTTGGGACAGTGATGTGATGAATAAAAGTAAGTACTATTGGGTTTTTTGTTGTTGTTGGGTTTTTTTCGGGGGGCGGGGGG